ACCCCGCGCCAGGACCATCACGACACCAAACAGAACCAAGCACCGCCGCACCCGGCTACGAGAGCGGAGATGACGACGTGATTGAAGTCCTCACCACTGAAGACACTGCCAACGTGTCAGGTCTCCAACTTCTTGGCCTGCACACATCCGTCTCTACGCTCGCGCGGACCGTGGAACCTAAGAACCCCCGCCAGGCCCTAACCGGCCCTCACGCCAAGTAGTGGCGTGCTACAATGGATGCGGAAATAAAAGCACTAGAATCGCGCGACACTTGGGTCCTCGTCGATCGTGCAGCAGTGAAGGAGAGGAGGGTGCTCAGCGGAAAATGGGTCTTCCGTCTTAAAACTAACGCTGACGGTACCATTGCGCGCTTCAAAGCACGATGGGTCGTACGCGGGTACGACCAGCGTCACGGCATAGACTTCGACCAAACCTTAGCTCCCGTCAGCCGCCACACCTCAGTCCGGATTCTACTCGCTATTGCTGCCGCAAAGCACCTACCACTGCGACAGATCGACGTGAAGAACGCGTTTCTATACTCGTTGGTGGATGCCACCATCTTTGTGGAACAGCCGCACACCTACGGAGAAGGTGACCCCAGGGTCTGCCAACTGAAGAAGTCATTCTACGGAATCAAACAGGCGCCACGACTCTGGCAGCAACACCTGCACAAGATCCTCCTCGAAATCGGCGTCAAACAACTCCCACACGACCCGGGAATGTATCGCCTCCACTTCAGCAGCGACTACATCCTCCTGATAGTCTACGTCGACGACCTGCTGTACACGGGGACCTGCAACAAACTCCTTGACCAGTTTCAGGAGAACCTGGCGCAACGCGTGGATATCACCATTAACCTTGAAGTAAAGCAGTTTTTGGGGTTAAACATCACTTACGCGCCAGAGGCAATTCATCTGTTAGCCTCCAGGTACGCAGAGCAGCTGGGGGAACGCTTCAACATTTCACCCGCACCACTCTCAACCCCCTACCGAAGCCCGAGCACCACCTACAAATCGGACAACAAACCTCTGTCGCCCGCAGGACTCCAAATGTACCAGCAGAAGTTGGGGTGCCTGCTGTTCGCCTCTGTCACCTGCCGACCCGACCTTGCCTACATTGCTAGCCAACTGGCGCAGTACTCTCGCAAGCCAGTAACTGAGAACCAGCTCGACCTGGAGCGCGCCCTACAGTACTTTATCTCCACACCTGACATCGGACTCTCCTACTCCACGCTGACGACAACCTCCTTCAACCTCAACGGCTACGTGGATGCAGACCACGCAGCTGATCCTGCAAATCGACGGTCCCGAACCGGCTTCGTTTTCCGCCTGGAACCAACTGGACCAGTCTCCTGGAACTCCCAGAAGCAGGAGCCGGTTGCCCTGTCATCATCTGAAGCAAAATATATCGCCGCGAGAGCAGCAGTCCGCGAAGGTCTGTACCTGCAGGAGCTGCTGCAGGAGGCGAAAATTCCAACCTCGCCTACCTTTCGTCTCCACTGCGACAACCAGAGCGCCATCAAAATCGCAAACAAACCAGGATTCGTGAACCGCACGAAGCACATCGCGCTTCGATATTTTTTCGTCAATGACGAAATCGACCAAGTCAAAGTGGACCTCGCTTACTGCCCAACCACCGAGATGGCAGCAGATTTCCTCACCAAGCGCCTACCATGTCAGCAGTACAAGCACTGCTCTGACCTCACCGGAGTAGTCAAACGAGTCAACTCCACCCGCACTCAGGAATGAAGGGGAGTGTTACGATGTGAAGTTTTATGAGAAGGCATTCCTGTATGCTGCAGGAGCCGACTCTACCGAGTACGAAGTTGAGGAGTCAGAAAGACCCTGATTCTTCAGGGCAATGGGGTTATGTCAACCCTGAAATCAGGGTAATCAGGATATCTTACCGTGATATCAAAGGCCCTGACTAGGAGTGATCGTAGCTTTGCGTAGTTCATAAGCGCTTGCGCATTAACGGGAGAAATACAAAAGAGTTTCCACTAGCAAAGCCGAACATTACAGAATGATTGAACAAGCAATGACAACAATGACTACATCAGCCACCTAGCAACCCTGCAGCTAGCGTGGTCGACCGCCAACACAGCTTGGTTGAGCGCCTACCAGCGTTGCGTAGAGGAGCCGCGCCAGCACTACTGAAAGGCGGCCTGCATATTCTGCAGGTCGACGGCATGCCAATGCTGCAAAAGAGCGTCTGTCCAGCGTTGCACCTGTAGATGGCCGCAGTGCGCACGCTCGCATGTGCGCACAGACGAGTGGCCCGACTAGCATCGTTGGGCATCCGTCGCCTGTTGTCTGCGCCTAATGAGCCACATCGACCCGGGCTACCAGCTCGAAGTCGCCTTCGCCATCGGGACCTCGACGACGTTCGCGTGCCCCCGCAAAACTCGTCGAGCATGTTACCCGGTCGACCTGGAAACCACCAGGTGCTCTGGTCGACCACCAAGTGCCTCCGGTCGACCACCGGGTCCCTCTGGTCGACCACCATGTCCCTCTAGTCGAACACCATGTGCCCCTGGTCGACCACAGCTCCCGTCGAGCTACCCCCTGGTCGACTGAGCCCTTTCGTCTACTAGAAGTATCAGCTCATGTCGTCGAGCTCCCCTCGTCGACCGCTGCTCACTTGTCAGGTCGACGGACTGCTTAGAGAGCGCTGGTTGAACTGCTTGTAGACGGACTGCTCCGTCGAGCTACCGATCGAGCTGCAGGTCGACGGACTGCTCCGTCGACCTCCCGGTCGAACTGCCCCTCCTGGGACGGACCGCTTTGCCCCTCCTGGTCGACGGCCCACCTGTCACCCAGACCAGTCAGTTGCAGCAATCGAGCTCCCTGGTTGATAGCAACACCACAGCGGTCCCCTGTAGCTCGACGAAGCCTGTTGAGCGACTCTCCCGTACATCCGACCAAGTCGTCGGCGTTCCCCAAGCGAGGGCGGGGCCAACACTTCATTCCCGTTAACATGGTTGATGTGGATGTGCGTGAAACCAAGACCCTATATTGTGTCCCAGTTTCTGATAGATAGGACCTTCTTAGGATGGATCTATTCAAAACTAGAATCTATATAGACCTGTAGGCTGTATTAGTTTATTCGCAGTAGATGTAGTGAAGACAGTGCAACAACTTCACAACACCGTCATCTCAAACAGGTCCAGTCCAAACTTCTGCCTCATAAGACGATGAATTTCCAATTATCCGTTTCGTATGACACAAAATAAAAATAATGGAATGTACACGCGTCATAATATAAAAACTCTAAATTTGTGAGTAAAGATAACGCATGATCTGCATCTTGGATGGCAAACGAAAATACACAATGTATTCCAACAACAAAAATCCTAACACGAATTCGGTTCTGCACATATTTTATTAAACATATTTTACAAAACAATTACTCCTATAAAATAACATTTAACATCGCTGCTGTACAAGCCCCACATTGCGCGAAACAGTTCCTACTATTCCGAGGTGTAGAATGTCGAACCAGGAGATCGCACGGTTCCAAGCCATCTCACCCCGTCCTGGTTCGCAGAGGCTAGGATTGGCTGGCTGAACAAAGCTACGTCCTAGTTACTACGAACTGAACAGAGCCTGGCTGCACTCGAGCCTCGAAAGCAGCGCGAAAGTTACTGCAGAGAAACTACACATACCACAAATCTACCACCAACCCACCTTGCACAAAAGGTGACTTTTTAAAACATACGACCAACGCTTCTCATTTTTTAGATGAACGATAGCCTGGAACATACAGAACAGGTGTATAGGTTCCCGTTATGAACTCTTAAGGAACACCGTTGTGTAGATCTTAAAGCCGCGCATCGTTTGAGACTATCAGTGTCAACAGCAGGCAAGAAATTGATGGACATTGGCTGAGTTAAAGCTCTCCGCCATGGCCATGGCTGGGTCGGAGTGATGCGATGTTGATCCATGCCTAGTGGTAACTACTACTAATGAGGAATGGAGAGGAAGCCAAGCTCATGGAGGAAAAACAGTGGCAGGGGTTGCTAGTTGAGAGTTTCTAGTAACCAAGATTGCTCCGCAATTCCTGCGTGGCTGCGGGGCCAACATCGCTGACGAATTGTGACTTCCTTTCCATTCAGCCGTGGTAGTGGGATCTCGACAAATGCGAATGCCTCGTCAAGTTACACTGCTCTCGCAAATTTCCAAGGTGACACAAGTTTCGATGGTGGCGTGGCATGCCAGCAGGGCGCATCGAGCCACCGAAATATTGCCAGGTCTGCGAGTCAGACGAATCAGGAGAGCGGCTGACCCTGTTTGACGAACACCGACCTCTTCATTCGCTCTTGCAATAACGGGACGAAGCGAAACCCTAATGACCACTACAGCGATAAGAAATTCTTTCAGCGTACAAAGAGCTAACACATGGGAACGGGCTTACTATGGCACTAGCGACCAGCAACCTGGCGGCAAAGCGAACTAGCTCCTCAGCCCGCAGTCTAGCCGCTCATCCCGCGACCTACCTTGTCGCAACCTAGAATCGTGAAGTGGTTTAACGATAAGGTAGAGTTGACAGTTCAGAATTCCATCGTGCGAACTTGGAGTTTACTAGACACTACCGCAACATTCCTACTCGTTATGGGATGTCAGAACGTGGTCCAAGATCCGATATTTAAAGGTTACATCACTCTCGCACCTTCTCCACCTCCCCATCCCTATTCTCCTCTCGCACAATCCCCCCTGTGCGACGAAGCTGCCGTCGCGAGAAGCATGAATGCGCAGAGCAGGAGGGATTAGACAGAGAAACGGCACATACGTTTTTCTCCCGCCGTCCTCCCGCAGTTGCTCTCCCCAACGAAGTGATCCTCTTATGGCCATGATTCCTTCCTCTGCCCTTCTTCCGTAACTGCCCTCTAACGTAATTTCGAAGGGTAATCGCAGAACGAGGTGGATTGGTTCTTCCTGGCAACTTCTTCAAAAGGGCGGACGAAAGGAGACGCGGGCTTCAAGCAAAAGCGACCGAAGGCGATGTCGATGGTGAGGCGACCGAGTGTAACTAGCAAGGCGCATTGCGCCTTGACATGAACACGGACACTGACACTTTTGACATTGTCCCCCTCGTTCATTTCCCCTCCAGCTTGCCCCCGCCTCTCGCTCTCGATGTGCTCTTGCACATTCGCCTGCGATTTGCCCTCCGCGCTTGCATCATGTCACAACGGCTGTCACTTGCCGCGCCTCTTGCAAATGCTCCGAATCACCCTTCGACGCCCTCCCCGCCCCCCGCGCCTCCGCGCCTTCCTCGTCGAGGCGCAATGCGACTTTCTGCCTCCCCGCATGTAAGATCTGCCACGGCGGCGCGACGCACATGCACAAATTTAGCGTTGGTGTAACTTCTCCTCAAGTTTCCCCACTCCCCCACCCTCCCCTTTCCCTTCCCCTCCCCCCCATAAAACCCTATTTTCCTTTCCCCCTCCGCCTCGCACTTCCCCCTTGCCATGCTGGTGTGTGTCTGCAGTGGCGTGGCAAATGTATGGTGGCCAGGAGCCAAGGACTCGCTGCGGCAGCACAGCAGCAGCAGCAGCAGGCGAAGCGGCGGTGGGTGCTGGCGTGGGAGCTCAGGAGTGGTGCAGCTCAAAGGAGTGATGGTGCAGTGCAGCGACTGGAGCTGACAAGAGGCCAGCGAAGCGAAGGTTGGGGGTAGATGGACGGGAAGAAAGGAGCAGACAGGAGCAAGTGGAGAGAGGGGGCAGGGGCACGAGCTGGCGGAGCTGGGCACGAGCTGGCGGAGCTGGGCACGAGCTGGCGGAGCTGGGCGATAGTGAGGTTTCGTCCTGTGAGCACGATGCACTGCTGGTCAGCGGGGGGGACGGGCTACGTGGTGGAATGGAAGGGGCAAGAAGAAGCAGGTGGCGGAAGGAAGAGGAAAGCTGCTGCTGCTGCCCACCTGCTGGTGCCCCTTCCTCTGCAGCCCAAGCTGTATCGGCGCAGGAGGGAGCGCAGAAAGCCATGGGAAGGATGTATGCTACACACTACTACCCTCCCATAACGCCACTGTCAAGTGCTTGTGAGGTGCGACCGTAGTCTCCCTTTTGATCTTCTCTTCCCCCCCCACCCCCCCCCTCTTCTCCACTCTCCACAAATTCATTCCAGAAGGTCAGGGAGCCACACCAACGCCCATGATGCACATCGTCAGCGCTTGCGCAATCCCCCACCAGGCCGGCGCCTGCAACCCCCCCCACTTTTCCTTTCCCCCTCCGTGTTACGCTTGTGCCTTTCCATGCCGGTGCCTATCTGCAGTAGCGTGGCAGATGCATGGCGGCCAGGAGCCAAGCGTGGCGGCAGATGCATGGCGGCCAGGAGCCAAGCCCAGACATCGGCGGAATCCAGGACTCGTCGATCGAGGCAGCAGCAGCAGCAAAAGAACGCGGGCGCCGGGTGCATGCAGGTCGATGTTGATGTGCCGGTGTCTATCTGCAATGACGTGGCATTGGTATGGCAACCTGGAGCGAAGCCAAGGAATCGGAAGGATGGGAGAGGTGGGACTGCCGAGAGAGTTGAGGGAGGGAGGAGGGGGGGAAGGGGGGGTAGGGCGGGGAGAGTGTAGATGAATGGGGGATAGGGAGATTTAGTTGGTCATGAAAGTGTGAGGGTTGCGAAGCGAGGGGGGATGCGAGTGGGATAGGTGGAGGTGGGGAGAGGAAGGGGCGGGAAAAGGTGGGAGCGGGAAAAGGTGGGGGCTGGAAAAGGTGGGGGTGGGGAGAGGGAAGGGGTGGTAAACGGTGGGGGAAGGGAAAGGGAGGGGCAGGGTGGGGTGGGGAGAGGGAAGGGGAGGGGGGAGAGAAGAGTAGGGTAGGGGATGAGTGGTTTATTGGTGATAAATGTGGGCGATAGAGTGGGGGGTTTGCACGGCGAGAGAGGATATTCAGCAGCTGTACTCTGCTGAGGTCCTGACCCCTTGCACTGCGCCACCCTTCCCCGCCACCCGTCCGTCCTTGAGCGCACACTGAGCGACCTTGAGCATCACCCCCTCCCGGCCCATTTTCCCCGTGCCCCTCCCCAACTCTCCCTTCCATGCCCTCCCCGCCGTCTTCCCTCGTCCCCCCTTGCGCAAGATGGTTCTGATGCGACTCTTCCCCACTCCTCCTTCCCCCCTTCCCTCTCCCTCCCCCCTCCCCCCTCGCCAGGTTTGTGAGGACCGTGAGCCAGCAGTCCGCATGGTGCTGCGCAAGCTGTTTTTGAGACGTCTCCCCCCTCTCCCCTCCCCCGTTTACCCTCCGCGCCTCTCATCCCCTCGGTGTGCTGCCGGTGTGTTAGGATTGCAAGCTTGCGCAGGACATGGACGAATTGCTGTGCCTGCGGGTGAGCCATGGGATAAGGATGATAGTGGGTTTGAGACGGGTAAGCGATGGGGGCTTGGGGAGGAGGAAAGAGGGGATTAGGGGAGACAAAGGGTGCCAGCATATTACATGCGCGAGTGGCCCCCACCCCTCTTCCCCGTCTCTACCCCCCACCCTACCCTTGCCACGAGGAGCCAGCCCCCGAGGAGGCAGTGGGATCCGGTGTCAGCGCACGTCCCCTCTCCCTGACACCCCTTCCTTATACCTCTTCATGACACCTATCTCAAACCCTCCCATCCCTCTCCCCCCCACCCCCCCACCCCACCCCCCACCCGGTGGAATCCGGTGTGAAGTGCACATCGCTGTATGCACAGATCACCAACACAAGCCAGCTGCCCTCCCATCATGTGTGAGTGCCAGGCCATGCGTCTACCACCAGCTTAGCTTGGCTGTGCGCAGCGCAGGGGCGTATGAGCGGCCAGAGGAAGGCACAGCCTGCTTGGGCAAGGGGGGAGCAAGGAGGGGCGTGTGGCCAGGTCAGGAAGGGGCATGACCTGCAGCGGGTAGGATGGGTGCAGCAGGCGGGTGGGGTGGGTGCCAGGAGCAGGTACGGTGGACTTCACGGGTCCGTGGGGTGTGGTAAGCCCGGCTGAAGGCCGGGTGTGTGTGGTGAAGAAAGAGCTCAAGGGTGGTGGAGGTCACTTTTGCCGGAGAGCTGGCTGGCTCTCATGGCTGCGGGACTGAGAGGAAGTCCCCGAGGGAAATTGCGTGTCGCTCATCCTGCCGCGGCTGATAAGTGGTGTTCCCTGATGCCTGCCGATGCATCACGTTGGTCGCTGATGCCTGCCGAGGCATAGCGAGTCCTGGTGAAGCCACCCCTGGGTCCAGTCACCTTTTATCGAACCTGCCTCTATGGAATCAGTCCTGTGCTCTTGGTTGTCACCTGTCTTGACACCACTGCCGTTGGCATTCAACCCATGATCTCTCATCACCCTATGACCATCATACCATCATCTTATCACCCCATCACCCTATCATTCTTTCACCCCTCCATCCCATTACCTCATTACCTCTTCACTCCATCACACCATCAACCCATTTCCTTGCGTCTTTACACTCTCCTGCTCCCTACCTTCTTCCCCTACTCCTAAACCTACTCACCACCCGCCCCACGTCCACCGCATCATGGCGGGGCGCTACGGTGGGCACCTCACGGCGCCCTAACTCGCGTTCCCTCCCTCGTTGCTTCTTCCTATACCCACCCCCCTGCACCACTTCCATCCCATCATGCCGGGGCGCTACGGCATGCAGCTCTTTACACTCTCCTGCCCTTGCTCATGCTTGTTCCTCCCCCTGCTCATGCTTGTTCCTCCCCCTGCTCATGCTTGTTCCTGCCCTTGCTCATGCTTGTTCCTCCCCCTGCTCATGCTTGTTCCTCCCCCCATCCTCTGCATCCCCCCACCCCCTCCCCCCCCTCCACCACACAAAACTTGTTAGTCTTGTCGCCGTGCTCGCAACTGGCACCACCCTTCTGCCATCTGGATGACCTGCCACCCCCTTCCCCCCCCTTCTTGCCCTTCCTTCCCACTTCCCCTTCCTCCCCGCTTCCCCGCGTCCCTCCTCCCATCCCTTGCTCTCCCTGTCGCGCCTCTCCGTGCCGCCGCCCGCACAAGTGAGCCCAGCAGCATCCGTGCCCGCACAAGTGGGGCGCGCGAGGAAGGGAGGAAAGAAGGGTGATTCAACAGCAGCAGGAGGGAACACGCATGCTGGCGGCAGTGGTGGCGCAAATGGTGGCATGGGTGTGTCCAGGAGCCGCCTTTTCCCCGCTCCTTGGGTATGTTTTGTGCATGCGCCACTGCTGTGACTGCCTCCCACGCCATGCCATCTGTCACCACGTGTCTGTAGTCTCCTCAATACCACTTTCTTCTCTGCTTCTCACATTCGTCCCACCAGGACAGAGCACAGGTGGGGGGCCTTGGGTCAGAACATGGCGGGAAGCACGAGCGGCAGTTTGATCAATAAGATAATGCGCGCCATGCTTCCCGCCATTTCACAAGGGCGGCGGGTGGGAGGGGAGTTGCAGGGGCAGGAAGACAGGGGCACACGGGCATGGATGGAGTGTGCGTGCGCGCACGGCTGGTGGCAGCTGATGTGATGCCATCACAAAAATGTGTGCGTCTGGAAATCATCTGACCATTTTTTTTTTAAGCAAGCTTCAGAAAATCGTTTGACAATCATCCAGGAATCATCTACGAATCGTTTGTATAGCATTCTTGTCCGACCAAACGTTTTGGTGATGTTTTAGTAATGGTTTCGCGGTGTTACCATGGAATGTTTGTTAGATGTTAATTGTTGAGACAATAATAAGGTGGCTTAAAATCGTGTTTCACAATAAAAAAAGGTTATGGTAAATTGACATAGTTGCTACTTTATTTGCATCACCAGATGAACCTATTGAGCAGCTTCACAGCAGGGTCTTTGCAGCACGGGACAACATGCACGATGCCAAGAATGCAATCTGCATCTACAACTGCATAGTTGAAGGTGCCCTTCGTGGGCAACAGTCGTTTGCAGCCAGTGTACCGGCAGACTCGCCGATCCTCCGTGTAGTACTCGATGTAGGCGGCTTTTTTTGCCACGCCATCTTTAACGTAATGGAACAGCATCAAGCAGTGGCCGTACCAGTTGGCCCCTTTGCCAGCTGGATTTATGGCTACATCTGAAAAGTGCCTGTCGGAAGGGCTTGCTTTGACAAACTGCCCCTTCTCGGTCCACTCCATCCTGTCGTGCGGTGGGATTGCCATGGCAGTGTGCACCTGCGAATAGGCAAGCAGGGGTCGCAGCACAACAATGGAAGTTTGTGTTAGGGTTGAGACAATGGGGTGCTGACGAGTGCGTGGATACAACAGGGTGCCATGCCTGGGTTTGTGTAAGTTAAGGAGGTTGATGTCCCGCGTTTAACAGGTCTACGTGGCAGTGGCAGTTGATTCTCACATTGATACTCCCGCATTGAGCACCATATTGATTCTCACATTGAGCACTTGGTCGTGAATTCCCTCCCTGGCCAGCCGCTTCTTCAAGTAGCCCATCGCTTCATCTCCGTGAACAAGGACATAGCTCCTGAACACATCATCCGTGATGTGCCCCACGGTCATCTTCTTGTGTGTCTTAGTCAGCACCCGACGCCCAAGCGTGCAAGCCTGGGTAGGAGGGTGATGGGTGCATGGTGTACATGGGGGGCAGCAGGAGAGGGGCAGCACTTGAGTACAACAGGGGCAGCAGTGAGATGGAGCAAAGATTAGGGACCAGTCGGTTAGTATAGCGGGGCAGTTCCAGAGGTCAAAGGGTGCAGCAAGAGGAGGGAGCATAGGCGGACAAGTGTAGATCAAGGGAGGGCAAAGGAAACACAAACGGCAGGAGGGAATGGGAAGTGCCGGGGATGGACATGGAGGAGGATGGGGGGGGGGGGGGGGGGGAACCGAGGGGGCGACGTGTTTAGCAGCACGAAGGTATATGGTGGATTAGTAGGGGAGCATTGGGGGCTGAACGACGGATAGTCCCACGGGGGCCGGGGGAGGGGCATGGGTGGATAAGTGGGAAAGCATGTGGGGCAAGACGGAATGTGAAGGGTGGCAGCTAGTGGAAGGAGCGATGGGTGGACAAGAACGCGAGCATGTAGATGCAAAACGGGATGTCAAGGGGGGCAGCGGGAGAGGCATTTCATGGGTGGACATGATGGTGAGCACGTGGATGCTAGAAGGGATGTCTAGGGGGGCAGCGGGAGGAAGGGAACAGGCAGGGTCTAAACAAAAACACGAGGTGATCGAGGGTTTCATGCGGCAGGAGCAGGCGGGGAACATTGGTGGGCAAGATCGGCCTTAGGTCGTACACAGGCTCACCTCCTTCATGGCTGTCTCGTATGTTTTGTCCCCGCCGGAGGCTCGAGACAGCTGTCGAACAACGGCTTGCTCTATATGCTTCTTCACAATGCGATCCTCCACACCCTTCCAGTTGGTGCCGCGAGAAGGGCGCTTCACTGTTGTCTTGTGGGACTGCTCGTACCGGTTCGACGAGTACTCCTGTGGCAATCCCCGTGCACGGATCGTCGGCGGGAGGTGCGATACAAGATGCACCTTGATAATAAGCCACTTCGACTTCTGGTTGTCGAATGCTAGAACAAGCGCATCGACCATCCTGGATAGGACGTGTTTGGGTGGATTGAAAGGTTCGGGATTGGGGCATTGGGTGTTGGGGATCGGTTTAGCGTGCGTACGCATATAAACAACAATTCAGCAACAAACAACAGACAATGCCCAATACCCGGGTTCATGTACTACTACCCTCTCTCAAACCCTCCCCCCTCCTCTCATCTCCCCCCCCCCCCCCCCCACCCACTCACAACTCAGCTTCCATGTTTCTGCCACTCCATTCCCCCACTCTAAGCCCCTCCTCTCGTCATTATGCCCCTCCTTCCCTTTTTCAGCGCATGCGGAACAGTCCACAGCCTATCGTTCCCCCCCCCCCCCCCCTCCCCTCTTTCCCTCCCTCGTCCCCTTTCCCTCCCTCGTCCCCTCTTTCCCTCCCTCGTCCCCTCTTTCCCTCCCTCGTCCCCTCTTTCCCTCGCTTTGCCCCCCTTTCCTTATCTTTTCCCTTCTTCCCCCGTTCTATGCACCCTATTTCCCACACACTGCCTCTTAATCCCTCCCTCGACCCCTTCAGCCATCTCACTGTCCCTTGTTCCCTATGTGCATGGCACCCACACCCATTCACGCTAGACTTACTCGCAGGAGACCTCCTCCATGCGCTCAAGCGTGGCATCGGTGTGATACTCAGCCCGGATAAACTCCTTGTACCAGTCCGACATGATCGTGATGGCATGTCGAATATCGGCGCGCTTGGGGAGGTCGATGATGAGGGGCAGCACTTGCATCATGGCACGGTGCTCCGACGCTGAGAAGCAGGCCGTCGTGGTGAAGTACGCCCATGCGGATGGGAGTCTCAGCAAAGACGCCGGAGTCGCTGCCTTGACAATCTTGTAGCGGCTGCACTTCCGGGATGCAATAAGGGTGTCGGTTTAGGGGGTGTGGGGCCGGTGGGGTGGG